TCCTCTGTGAAAATTCTTTCCACGCCTTTTGCCCATTTTGTAATTGGGTTATCACTCTTTTTCTTGTGGAGGCCCAGGGGTATTCTGTAATCTTTTGTTATAAGACTTTTGTCTGAGATGGTATTACCAAATGTTTGTTCCTATTGGCAGGTTTTCTTATCAGTCTGTTGGAAAAAGTTTTTTATGTGCACAGGGATTTAATCTTTGGAAGGTTTTGTTCATCACTTTTATCCTCTTCCGATTGTAATTTCTGGTTGTTATTTGGCAATCTCTTTATACTATAGACTTAGGGCTTCCAAGCTTGACCCAAGTTTGTCTCTTATGAACTTTATGGTTTTGGGCTTTAATCTCTCTGGAATTCTTGATAGTGGACATTCATGTAGCACTGTGTGAAAATTTGGGTACTTCAATCAGAATGGTCCTTAGACGTGAAGATAGTGAGATTTTTGTCTCACATCCTTTTACTATATTATCTGGAGAGGCCATTCCTGGAGAAAGACATCATGCTTCATAAAGTAGGTCAGTGAAAAAGAGGAAGACCATCAACAAGATGGATTGACACAATGGCTAAAATAAGCACAACAGTGACTGTGAAGATGGCACACAATCAGACAGTATTCTGTTCCATTGTAAATAGGGTTGCTACATATGGATGCCAATTCAAGGTTAGCTAAGAACAAAAACAACGAAAAACACACCTAGAAATGTATTGTATAACTTCCCTTGTGGTAGGACAACATACAGAGATAAGGCAGCAAGCAATAACACTTCTTCCAGGTGCTTTAGCTAAGGACTAACCGGCTTGTTTTTATAACATTCATCCATGGGGATAAGCTTTCCATCACTCTTGTAATTTCTTATTGCTGTGGAGTTTGGACCTATTCATAGCTGGCTCTCAGTGGGTTTTGAAGGCTGTAAATTGCACAGAAGGACATTGCCCATCTTTGTCTTGTGGACCTGCTGGTGGATTCAAACCACCAGAGGGGCACTGCCTTCAGGTGAGTGGTACAACTTCCTACAGACTACATCACCAGTGCTCTCTTTTGTCCTCATTTTGTTGTTAGTTCTTGTTGTTCTGCACTGTCGAGTCAAGGATAGCTCATTGTGACCCTGTGAACAACAGATCCGAACCCTGTCCTATCCTGTGCCATTCCCATCATCCCTGACATATTTGAGCCTATTGCAGCAGTCACTGTGCCAATCCATCTGGTTGAGGTGCTTCCTATCTTTAACCTTCCACCTTTTCTAGTATATACTCAAAAAGGCAAACCTCAATCTTCAAGCCAGAAAATGAAGAAAAATAACTAGAAAGAAGTGTCCAAACTCGAGGACAGATGTGTCATCAGAATGAATAAAATATATAGCTAGGAAAAGGAAACTGCTGAAAGGGCTCTGCCTAAATTCTCTCATCCTCAACCACTCCACTCATGCTAGTCAACGGTGAGCACCTACATTTCTTTTCCTGAAAATATTTTTTTTCCCTTCACACCTTGCTGCTCATGTGATGAGCTGGGTTACAGGCCCAAGGAACAGCCCTCATGAAATGACCAATATAGAAGGTTTTACACACACACACACACACACACACACACACACGGTCTAGTCCATAGGAAGTTGTGCTGCTAACTCTAAGGCCACGCTTCTTTGGCAGTTCCACTCCACTAGTAGCTCAACTAAAGAAAAAGTTCCTCCTTGTTTTACAGCCTCAGAAACTCAATGGATGGTCAGTTATGAGTCAGTTGTGACTTGGTAGCAATGGGTTTGAGATGTTGTGGTTTACTCCTAGAGTGAGATAACTCTCAGGTGTGTGTGTTACACTAGCCCCAGAGTTTTTTTAGTGTGTGCAAGTTACCATAGCATTAACTTTTTCAAGTAACGAACACATCATTGGCTTTCTTGACACACTTCCCATTCTGCTGCTAGTTTGACGGAATCATTTCCCATAACTACTTGCACTGAAATAGTTGTCTCAGAGTCTTCTTAAGAAACCCAAACCAAGATTGGAACAGTATCATGGGGTATTACATGAAGCAACAGGGTCATTCTAACCTGGGCTCTTCTTTATGGTTCCCAGGATATTTCCAGGTTAATCTTAGCCTTCAAGAAAGAGATGGCAAGGATTAATTTCTTTTCAGATAACCACTCAGGGAGCATTGACGCGTGCATTCCCAATCAACTTCATCTGACAGTCAAACTCTCAGAACAAAGTCCTACCCAGGTGCTCTGATTTTCCAATTAACTTCCTTAGCTTTGGCCTTTCTGGTTTTCGATACATTTAAATGTGAAGGGCAGCCAAAGACCATTCTAATATGCTAGATGGAGAGTGACTTCATAGCAAAAGCACCAGGGAAGAGTAAAAAATAGTATTCAAAGAGAACTTTAGAAATATATTATTAGTATCCTCATAATGAAGGGAACTATAACTGCGGATTAAGACTGACACTTTAGAGGAACATGCTTAGTCATTTAAAAGGATATCTGAAAGACAGCACAATTCTAGAAAAGATATTAAAATTATAAAAGAAATTAAAGGGTTTGTAGATAGAACAAAGATGTCGGTTTAAAGACTAAGAATAAAATGTGTTTAAAGACTAAGAATAAAGTACGTTTGCTTTAAGCCATGGTATTTTTGATTGCTTCCTATACATCTAAAAGTTGTGCTATGAATAAAAATGACAGAAGAAAAACTGATGCTTTTGAATGATAGAGTTGGGGAAGCAGACTATGTCAAGGACTTCTAAAAGAACAAACAATTTTATCTTGGAGGAAGTAAAAGGATGGTGAACCTTTATATTTTAAACACCTTGTCGGGAAGGGCTAGTTCTGGTTTGAAAAAGACATCAGGCTGGGAAAGGTAGAGGATCAGAAAAAGAAAGCAAGCCCCTCTAACCGATGGATTGACACACTGGCTGTAACAATGGACTTGAGCATATCAGAGTTAGTGAGGATGGATGGCGTACAATAGGGCAAGGTTCAGGTCTGTTGTCCACAGGTGGTTATGAATCAAAGCCAATTTGATGGCACCTAAAAACAACAAGAAAAAGAGATGATTTGACTGTAGATGGAAAGAATTAATCGAGAAAGAACAAAATGTAAAGGATGGAAAATAGAAAACTAGATGGTTACAGATTGCCTGTATCATCTAAAGGGAGTTGGAAACAGAGGGAAACATCAGAAACTGAAAAGATGTTAACCTGTGTTTATTGGAATAAAACAAAGCAAAACTTGGGTAGTTGTATTACCAGAAAAACAGTTCTGCAGGTTGCTGCCAAAAAAACCCAATCATAGAGATAGGGTTTGGAATGGAAAAAGCTGAAATTTTTATTATATATGCTCACATATAGGTGACAGGAGGTGTGAGTTTTCCAAATTCATCTCCCCATCTTGGAAACTGAGGGGGATTATATGGGGAGAAGGAGGGCAATGAAATATGAGAATTTCTCAGTATTTTCTTTTGTGCAGGTGTTGGTGCCTGGTTCAGTATCTTCTCTTGACCAGGTGTCTGAACCTTGTGATAACCTTGTCAACATTCCAGAGATAGCCTGGAGCCATTCTATGTTCTAGAGGAATAATTTTCAGCTGTAGATTGCAGAGTTGAAGGGAAAAGATTTCAGCTGTGAATTGTAGGGTACATAGACAAGCCTCAACAAAGGGTTCTTAATTAGGAAGTAATTCTTATAGTTTGCAAGGTAGATAGGTAAACTGCATCCAGAGTGCTTTAGCTGTAGTAAAGAAGCTTCTGGATAGTTGCTTCTGCTAGGGTTAGAGGGAAACACTTCTTTGACAGTGTTTTAAAATAAATAGTATTGGTTTTACCTTGGTTTAGGATATTGTGAAAAGGTGGTATCAGTTGAGAGTTTAGTCTTTTATTACTTCATGGACAGTTGCAGTGTTGAGGTTGTGAATGGTGCCAGAATTACTGGTTAGTGCAAATAATTATGAACCTAAAGACTAGATATTTGGATGTAAATTAAAAAGACAGGTTATATGACAGAGCAGATTAGACTCATAAATTAAAAAAAGATTAGATGACAGAGCAGATTAAACTCATGACTTAGCAGGGTGGGTGTAGTCTGGCCAGTTAGGTCTGATGTGTGTGTGTGTGTGTGTGTGAGTGAGTGAGAGAGAGAGAGAGAGAGAGAGAGAGACATAGACAGAGACAGAGAATATGTATATCTCCAGGGTTTTGCAATGAATTGAAGTCCATGAAGAATAAATTAAGGTAAAAAGGTTAGAGACTTGTGAATGTATGATGGTACAATGCAAATTATGAGCCCAGACTCAATCAGTGTTTTCTGAGCTATTACTATGTGTCAGATACTGGGATGAAGTCCTTGTCTTCGTATTTGAAAGTGAGTGCTCAAGGAGGGGACAGAGGTGAACTATCTCAAAAGCAGTATACTGTCTTTCGGGGCTTGTTAAGTGAAAAAGGGACTGGGACTAGGGTTGTAGGTGGTAGTGAGGGAGGTCAGGGGATATATAGAATGTTTGGGAGATTGGTTCTTGGGAGCTACCTAGGGGAGGCGTCATCGCCTCTCAGTTATGGGTCGGCCCAGGTGGGGGGTAGAAGCTGTAGAAGCTGGCCCAGGGGAAGGGTGTGTGTGTGTGTTCGTAGCGCGCGCGCG